ATGGATCAGAATTTATTATCAATTGGTGGATTGAAGAACAAGTAAGTCTTATGTAATACAATTATTGTTGATATTTCTCGTTCTATTCTTATTTAGCCATCAAAATCGAATTTAAAAGCTTGTTCATCGTCATACAAACATAAAAACTTTAGAAAATCATCATTGTTCAAATTTTGTTTTAAATAATTGAAATTATGTTTTTTTTCTTCTTGTTATTGATTTGTTATTAATCTTTAATTCATTATTTTTGTTTATAAACAAGATGTACCATAAGTTTTATTAAAATTCTTTTAAAACTAATTCTTAGTTGACTTATGCTATTTTGATCAATTCTATCAACAAAGCATGCACCAAATCTAATGTTCACTTTGAATTTTGATACTAAGTTTTATGACATTGAGTTTAATCAATCTTGATCTCCCGCTTCAGATTTAGACACATTCTTAATTCGTAGTCAAATAGTTATGCATCAGAGTTTGATTCGAGTCAGGTCGTAATAAATTGACAGATGTCGAACTTCACATAAAGCAAACATAAGATAGGATCTATGAGACCATCAAGAATTCACGTCAGACACTATTGATATTAATCAATTAAATGAATTAGTTAAAAGAGATTTAAATGATATACAATCTTTTTCTTTTATGATTGTTGCTAGTGCAATACATTTATACAAGATCATTGAATAGATAAATATCCTAGAGCATCAACAAGTGATCTTCATTATACATTTTCAATGTATACAGGAATTGTTTTCACATCAATTATTTATTATTCAATTTATCTGATATTTAAAAGAAATCGTTCATATATTCATATTGAAAGTATTTTACCTGGTATTATAGCTGGTATAATGTGGAGAATAGCACAAGCTGGGTGTGGGTGTGGGTGTTGCTGTCCATGTGAGTGTGTATTTGCACTGGAAGAAGGAAAGCCTCACACGCACACATGTTCGTACGTATCCCCAGGCTCACTCTGACATTCACCCACGAGCTCACACGCGGATTCTGTTACATTGATACCCAAATTGACTAACAAAGTCATGCCAAGATGATAAATATTATCCATCTTTAGTCAGTTCAGAATTCAGAAAAACTGAATGGTATTATTATTGGAATATACTTCTTAAAGGATACTTTCGAACGATATTTGGACATCGCACAGGAGAAATTTAAATGATCGCGTAACTGTAGAAGTATATTCATCATTCATTTCTAGAAAAGAAGTTCAATGAACTTAGCGAAGATATTTCATTGAGTCGCATAAGATAATGCTGTTGTTTTTCGAAAGCCACCTATAACAGCATTCAGTTTTGCAATGAATAGAGTAGCGAACAATATTGAATCACAAGAAATATTTGTCTTTCATATAGTTTCATGCATTAAAAATGCGAAGCAACTAAGTTTTGCCTTCAGCCATTTCTGTTTACTCTTTCTTCCGATCGAACATTGATGCAAAAGAAACGAAAGTTTCAAGTGTGATGAAATTCTTTTCTGAACAAGCAAAAAAATGAAGAGAAACAACCGAATAAAGTTGGTGGGGTAACTTTCTGCATGCTGCAAACGAATGTTGTCAGTCATTTTGTTGTTTTTCATTTTGTTTGAAATACCATCTCAAAGGCCTTAGACATCAATCGTGAGTATTTTTGAATAGCAGAATATTTTTTTATTGAACAGTTTTTCAACATTTTCTTAAAATCTGATACCATAAAACGATATGGAACACTATGTCGGTGTCACTGCCAACAATCAAATAAAAATTTTGCAAATAAATCCATATGTCCTTTGGAATTAAATAGAAATGAAACTGGGCAGCTCAACGAGGTTTATATTCAGTCAAAGTCATTAGTAATAGCACTAGTAATGGCTTGTGAAGACGTCACAGATATTAGCGATAGACTCAAGTTTTCGGCTAATATTGGTCGAATGAGAATCATCTTCATACAATCGAATATATCGTAGAATAGTAACAGTTGGAAAATGCTACATGCATGGAACTCTTCAAAAAATTATACAAAAAACGCCGTTTTGGAGGTACATTTCCAAATAAAACTTACCTAGCTTTCCCTAGCATATACCTGCTTCACAATGATTTATGCAGAATCGGTTCTGCCAACTAGAACCCGATGAGCACTGTCGATTCACGCATATCTCATCAGTTTTCATTCAGAATCTCGAAATCTCGTATCTAAATAATCGAAAAGATCTGCTCCTGCATATTCATTCTATTGTCTATGTCCACTCTCACATCGTGAACCACTTGTCAAAGATCACGTGCAACATAACATGAAGTACAATTGTCATCCTGCATCCTGACCTTTACATACTTTACCCACGCACCCTGAACCAACTATACTCTAACTCTCACCCACCTACACCAATCCTCAGTCTCACTCATTCCGACCCTAACCTCCAAGAGGGTATGGACCTGAGAGGTGCAGTATGCGGGTGGGTGAATGTGAATGGAAATGTGGAGTTTGGGTGTCGGGTGAAGGGTCTGATTATCTAGTAAGTGAGAAAAAACACATCCACACTCATATGCACACCATCCATACTCACACTCGCAGTCACAGTCACGCCCTCAGTGTTTTGCACTGAAAATTTTATCGTGAGTAGAACTCGTAGAGATATATATCCACAAAAAATTTCAGCTCAATCAGTTGAGCCGTTCTTGAGATATGGTTCCGTCAAGACTCAGGTTGATCGAAACGTAGGTTTTTAGGACTTTTCATAAAACATCCTCAAAAAAACGGGGGTTCAGTATTTTTCAGAACGGCTTGCATCAAAATTCATAACTCTTCCTCCCACAACAATATCTTAAATTGAGCAAGATCTGACAACCCTGAGTGAGTAGATACGGTCGTGATTTACCTGAATTCACTAATATGCGAAAATCAATTATAAGGCTTAAAATTAAAAAAAGTACGTCTCTGCTGTTTTTTTTAGTCAAGCTTAAAAAGTCTAATATTTTGGACATGTATCTAACTGGAGTAGGACCACTCACCAGCAAAAGATATGCGTGTTCGTAGATGTTTGTGGATGTTCGTAGGCCCCAAAAACCAGTGTCCGTTGGGCAATAGGAATTCGATTATCGTTCAACACAAGACTTCTAATCGATATTAATTGAATTCCTTCAATTCCAGGAATTCCAGGAATCGTTTCTCATTCCGGAATTGCTCGGAATTCCTGAGAATTCCTTCCGATTCCTGAATGGGTGGGTGGGGTGTGGGTGGGTGTGAGTGTGTGGGTGTCGGTGGGTATGGGTGTAGTTATCCCTTAACCCACACCCACACCCTTGCTTTATTGTCACTTTCATACAACCAGTGAAATGGCTACGTATATTGCTTTTATTCACATCACTTCTTAACTCCAACACGAAAACTATTTTATCACTATTCGTTATTCGATTAAATGTTCGTTTCTTCTTGACATGACATCGTTTATTAATAGTCGTGGCATATGTATTCGGTGAAATTGTTGATGAAGAAGTCTAAGCAGATGTCGAGCTTGATTTCTGTGAATTACATCTTATATACCTGGTTCCAAAACATAGATAGGTATATTCATGAAATCTTGCTAGTGAGTCTGACGACTATATCCAAATTCAGTAAAACTTTCAGAATTTGCTGAGCTTTTTCAGCTGATCATTATGGTTATAAAGTTTTTCCATTTAAATTGACTGAGCCGTAAAAAAAATGTTTTAAAGAACCCGAGCATTGAGATTCGATTTTAATAGGATTTATTCTGTAACGAATTCTTTTAAAATTTTTGAAATACTCGTTTCTCTTAGCTACTGTCTAGCCGATCATTTTTAAAGAATTGTTATCGATATAACAATCAACTGACTTCAAAACCATAGAATTCTAAAGAATAAATCGTATCTTATCTGTTGATTAGACTTAAGCTTTAACGATAGATTGTCAACGTTTTCATTAAATAAACTTGTAAGATTTGCGCTAAAACTTTTAGTTTATTAAGAAATGCTATCAAAATGCTGAACTGTTCAAATTCGGATAATATCATATGTTGCCTTTTACTTCTTCTGAATCAATAATGACACATAGCTTTTTTTGCATTGCATGATAAATATTAGTTCTAATAACATCATCTTCTTGCAAGATACACAAAAGATTTATTTGGTAAATAGTTTTGAGTAAAATATATGCTTTACTTAACGTTGATATTAAGAAAAAGCGTTCAACTAAAAACAAAATCAAATAGATATTACGGTCGATTCTCACAGTGTTTGTTAAAACTATTTTTCATCAGTAAATAATAAAAAATACGATGTCATAAGAAAATTATTCATTGTAATACTCACACTTGTTTAATATATGATTCAGGATTTAAAAGAAAAGGAAAAAGTAAATAGGAATATTGAAATGAATAATCATGCGAGAAGTACGTAAAAAAACAACTTTTGGTAAATTATGCAACAATTTATCGGAGAGAGAGAGAGAGACACACTAAATAGTATCAAAAACTGATAGAGTGCATATTAAAATATTTTCCAGATAAATGAATAAATAGAGTAACCTTTAATAATTATTGAAATACATGCGTGACCTTTTTTTTGTTTTCAACTTTAAATTTCAAACATACATTAAGAAATCATCTATTTATGATTATAGAGTTCGTCGAAATAAAAACGAAAAGAATAACAAATATTTTTCGCTGTTAATACTTGAGTGAATAGTTTACCTTTAAGAACGCGATCAAAATTACAATAATGAAAATAAACAATAATACTATAAATATATAACAAGAATAAGCTAAATAAAGCTTCATTATCATTTTCAGCTTTAAAAATACAATCTACATTTAGAGATTTATAATCAGACTGTCAAAAAATCATAATAAAAAATATTTAAAATAAAAACTGTTCAAAAATATCTAAGATGTCTCATTTAGCTTGTTTTCTAAGCAAGATTGAAGAGCACTCGGTAATAATCACCTATTTATGTTACTTTTGAAAAAAACTGAAATCATAACTGTCGAATCCTAGACGTTAATGTTAACTCTAGCAAATGCTTCAATTTCTTTTCGACATAATGGACATGATTTCAGCGAATATCCACATGGAACACATGTTATGAAATGACCACATGGTACACAAGCTAATCGTTTTTTTTCTATTAAACAGACAACGCAAGGTTCAACTGATATTTGTCTTTGTCCAGGTATTTCTATAAAAATAGAAAAGAAATTATGAAGGAAAGTTTTTAATAAAATAAAAACATACCTTGGTATCTTTTTATTGCTTCTTCTGAGATTTGTTTCATTTTTTCATATGGTATTATAATATTGTCCTTAAGTTCTATTTGTTTTTGCTGAATAAAACGAACAATTAATAAATCACGATAACAAACAGAATGTTCATCTAAATAAACAAAAGATTAGTGAAGATAAAAATCGTTTAACGATCATCATACGTTTTCCTTGTGATTGTCTTTGCCTACAACGACTAATAATGGATAGAATTCTTTTATTAGACATGAGTGATTGTCGACTATTTGTCTTTGTTATAAGATCAGGATTTGCCTTTTCATTTACTCTCTTTGAATTAAAACGTACTAAAAAAACTCAAATAGAAAATCTGTCGTATAAAAAGATAATATTTGAACTTACGTTGGTTTGCTCGATTAGTTTCTTGAATTTTATGGTACAATTGACCGCCATATAATTGTTTACCATTTGCCCAATGTGGAAACCAGCGATCATCTTCGCTCTTTGAATTATCATCTGGATCCCAATGATCTAATAAATCTTTGCAGCAAAATTTATTTACATCAAATTGATTTTCTATAGACGTGGTGTTTGCTCGAATCAGCTCGTCAATAGAGAGTGAATTATCAACAGGACACATTGGGGCAGAAGCTGCCGGTCCATGAATAGCGCTGTGACTTTGATTTTGTGTTACTGGACGAGCCAATGTACTAAGTAAAAGTGAATTGACATTATTTGGCGCATGAATAGGACTGCTTCCAATAGGTGCGATTGAACTAATATTGCCATTTATAATAGGTGGTGGTTCAGCAAGGGGTAATTTTTCTGTAACATATAAACATGTAGGAGAAAGTGTTTTATGTACTTTACTAGGATTGTCTACATATGGTGTCCATTGTTCACATATTAGATTACAATAAGGGCATATACTTCGATCATTACCATCACAACCAAAAAATCCAGCTTGAACCATATATTCACTTGATAAAGCTCCAAAATATGGCCATTGACAAAAGCTATGTCTTCGACATTGTTGAAGTGAATCAGGTTCGAATGAATTATTTAATCGAGATTTTAAATCAATTTTTCGACGTTTAGGATGATTTTCTTGTTCATTTGATATTGATATATTTTGACCAGTAGTTGTTGACGAGGAGGAAGATTCAGATATAGCTAATAATGATGATGGTTTCATGGAGCGAACGTATGAACAATCAGGACTTTCTTCAGAATGAATAGTAAATGGATTCATATCGGCTGCCCAATTGAATACTTCAAGTCCACAATGTTCACAACGAGCTGTATCTCTATCATCGATATATTGAAATCCGGCGGCAGACATCTTAATCACTGAATGAACACCTCGCTTTTCCGTCAATATTCTACATGCTGCTACAATTCGACGGACGTTGTCAGGAAGTTTCAATGATTTCCTCTTTTTCATTTGATTAGATTTTGATGAATTATCTATCAACTGTTTTTCTTCCGAGAACTCGTTCGACACGATCATAGTAGATACACCTGTTAACTACTAGTTAATGTTTTAAAAGAAAATTTGAAAGAGTAAAATATATAATTATTTGTATAGTAAGATAAGTTCTATCGAATTTTTCTGATTAGATAAACAAGTATTTATTAACTTGAAAATTCTGAAATACAAAAAAAAATTATTAGAATTGATTGTCAAAAATTTGATCTTCTCCTGAAGATCTATATACTCATCGAAAGAAAAACAAACGTATCACACAATAATAGTTAATAAATTGCGCAGTTTGTCAAGGACAGCAGTACAAAAAAAAAGAGAAAGAAAAGAAACAGGTGATACTTTTGTTAATAGAAAGAATACAGCCATCATGATAAGAAAAAATAATTATTAATACATACTAAATATGAAGCAGTAAAAAGATGCTGGAAGCAAATAAACAAAGTAAACCTCATGATCGCGACAACCATTATAACTAGACCATACATGACGCTTTCATTGCCAAAATCGGTGATTGGAAAATAGCGAATTTATTGCAGTATTTATTTTTTTCTGAAATTAAAATAATTTATACTTAACTAATATTTTTGAATTTAATGCAGGAAAAGATATTGATACAGAAGATAAGATTGAGTTTTTTTTAAAATACCGTTAGATGTCGCTACTCCATAAGAATACCAAGTTAAGACAAGCATGTCTTATAAAAATTTTCCTTTTGAATGCTTTGAAACTCTGTTATCCATTAAGTCGATAAATAATCAAAAAAAATTAAGTTAAGTTGTAAAATATTTAATAATTAGTCAAAAATATTGTCATGCAGACGAAAGAATATCTACTCAAATAATTAAAACTAACTATCATTTTAACCTTTTGGAGACCGACTTTTTTTTCGAGAAGAGGTAAACGGTATCGTGGAAATTATGTATAACTTAGAAATTATGAACAATATACTTGTAGCGCTAGATCTTCTTTCTATAGAGTATGACAATGAACTCTCTGGTGGAAAAGGAAATAAGATATACAATGATTCCACTTCGAAATATCCAAAGCACTTGAGGGTGTAGATGTGGGGTGTGGTGTGGGTATCTCTTTTAGAAGACGCCCCCCCCCCCCCCACACACCCGCACCCACACTCTTTTAGCGTAGATAGAACTCATAGAGATCTATCTATATTGAAAATTTCAGACCCATATCTCTTTCCAGTCACGAGATAGAAAGTCTCAAATTTATCTGAAAAAACAAGGTAACGCTCATCCTACGGATTCGCTGACCCTTTTTTGAAAGAAAACTTAGAAAAGTTCTGGAGAATTTGTCGACAAAAAACATGTTCGCTTTTTATTTATGGATCACATACTCTTATGAATAAATTTATAACTTTCCTCCATCAACATAAGTGAATAGTACTACCATTTTTATCCTGCAGTTTTAAGCACGAATGTGGGTGTGCACGGAGTCTATGACTATTGTGTGTAGGATAATTGTGTGTAAGACAATTGTGTGCAGACAATTGTGTGTAAAACAGTTATGAGAACGGACAATTGTGTGAATAAAAAATTGTGTGTAAGACAATTATGAGAACAGACAATGATGTGCACATCAATTTATTTAATTTGCACTGACTAATACTAGTAAACGAAAGATCATGAAAATGATATCTATGCATCATTTAAAGATACTTGTGGTTTACAAATTTCAGGCCTTAATCCACTTTACAATTATTGTGAAGATTATTGCTCTAGGAAGCTTCGAAACCAGAAAAGAAGAACAATTTCAACACTCCCAATCAGATTTTAGAAATTACATAATTTGTTGAGGAATCAATTCGAAAACATAAACAACGCCGTCGGGGGTGATACCGATGACTTACCAATGTCATAGACTAAGCCATCCTGGATTTTGATAATTTTTCGAGGAATCTTCAAACAGAACAATCATATGTAGACAGTGAAATTTCTCAACTAGTAACAAGTCTCACACTAAAACCAATGAGAATCGAAACTCAACAAACGACATTCAAAGTTTTGTGGTTTTTTAAAAGTCTTACAAAAGATAATATACAAAAACTAAAAGCGATTGCTCATGCGTTCATATTATAATTGTTCACTGATTGGTTCATCGTGAATTATTTTTGTTATTTTGATTACTTTTCTTTTGTTCATTGCCTTTTTTGAGAAAAATATTTATTTACGCATAATACATACAGTCATTTTGCACACAATTGCCTACACACAATTGTCCTACACACAATAGTCGTGCTCCCGTTGTAACTCTATAGCATGAGGTCTTAGGAAACATCTAAATAAGAACAATAGGAATCATGAATACTTAGTTTATTATTAAGTGTAGATATAAGGAAAGGACAATCATTCACACTGTTAGTCTGCATAAAAATCATTTAGAAAGAATTTTGATAAAGAATTTTCTTTTTTTGTTCTTTCATGATGATTAAAAAATAAAATTAGTAAAAAAGTCCTCTGATATATGAGTATCGTCAATATCTTCGTCTTTCCATGTTATGTGAAAATTGGTAGGTATAGTATTAAACTCTTTGGAATATAGCATTTCATCATATTCTTCATCTGTATAATCATTCATATTATATTTTGCTGTTACATAATGTCTTACGGTCATCCATGCGCGTCGCTGTTCTTCGGTTGAATGAGGATCGTTTTTATCGGGAGCGGTTTTTGCCAAATTATCAACATTTTTATACCATTGCAAATGTTTTTTATTATAATATAATCGTTTTGGATGAATTATCTCACCGTCGCCAGTATAAATACCGACAGTTGTCCATTGTTGATAACAAGAATGTAAATATGGTTTATGTGTTTTATAATACTGTTGACCATAGAATGCAGCTGGAATGTGATAATCATTCTCATGACTAATACAGTCAACGTACATTACTTCAGGGCATTCGCATTCGTCTGTTGTACATTTGCAGTTTACTGGTAGTAGTTTTACTTGTTCTGCTGAATGAAGACTTGGCTTGTTACATTTTACACCACATCCTGGACATGTATGTTCACAGCCAAGACGACGTTTGATGGTCAATTTACAGTCGTCGAACGCTCTTACTCTTAATAAATGTGATATAGCTTCTTTTTCAGATTTGCTCTGATCGGCGAATACGGTCAATATATGTTTAAAGCCAAGTTGGAATTGTTTTGGATCTTTTATTGGTAAATTCATTTTAGGTTCGAGTTTAAACTCCATATCATTTTCTTCATGCTTCATTTTCTTAAGAAGATTTATTTCTGATATAGCATTTTCTATTGCATTATATGTACTATTTATGTCATCATAAGCATAATTTTGAATGGTATTATTGATTGTAATGAAAATTGTTGAAAGTAAATTATCTAAATAATTCGTATGCACACTGACAACATTACGAAATGTACCTAATACTTCTTCTAAACTTAATTCTAGTAGATATCGATTAATATCAAGAACATATTTTAATATATTTTCACCATTATTTTGTTGAAAACTTTGTTGATATGCATTTTTACGCATATGATCATGTATGATAAATTTGTTTTTCATCACATCTGATTTAACATCACGAAGGACTTGATTTAATAATAAACTTTTAACTTCGGCAAAAATTTGTTTCCCGATTTCTTCAGCTTCATATTGTCCTTGTTCAAATGAATTTTTCATTGATTCGAATTGTTTTTCAATATTGGTTTTCCATTCACGTAATTGATTTTCAGATTTTGTCAATTCTTTTTGATAATTATCCTCAGATATTAATGTTACTTCAGAAATTAATATTTTTAATGATATAATAACAAAATCACTAACAAGTTCTGCAAGATTTAAATCCTTGTCAAAATCTTTAATTTCTTTCATACTTAAGGAATTTTCCACATATGAAATAACAGCGTTGACTATTTCTGGATCATTATGTGAAAGTTTTATCTCCCTGATTAATTTTACAATGTCTTTTTTTAATTTAGGTAATACTACATTGAAAATACCTGATAGTATAGTACGATTTTTTTCTGCAGATTTTTCATTATTAAACCATTTTAACTTGTCTTTCAAGTCAATCCAAATTCCATTCAAATCAGTTTGCCGTGATGAAGAAAATAAATTTTCACGTGGTATATCTAAAAATTGATTTATTTGTTTCCAACTGTTTTCAAATTTTTGACAATATCGTTTATATTGTTCAACATCTAATCTAGGTAAAAGATTATAGATATCACCAACTGTTGGATTAGCCGCCTTTCTATCATGTAAATTATTATAAAATTTTAATATTTTTTTAGTAATATCATCTTCTTTTTCATGTAAAACGTCCAATTGTTGTCGACATTCTTTTAGTAAACATTGATAATCATTTTCAAGGTTCATTCGAAATTCATCTATACCTATTGATTTATTTTGATCGAAACCTTCTTGAGCACGATCGATTAATTTTTGTTGTGCATATTTTACTAGTGCAGCTTGTGATACAAGATGTAGATTATCTTCAAATTGTTGTCGTGTCGATTGACAAGTAAATTTCAATCGTGGTTCGATGATACTCTTTATTTTTTCTTTAATATGTGGTAAGTAGTGTGATTTATTCGTTTTAAAATCAAATTCTTTATAAGCCTGTTCAAGAATTTGTTGAAATTGTCGATTTAAAATCATATTAAAATCATCACTTGCATTCGAATAACCACTTGTTGTTGATATTAATTGGGAATTATTTTTTATATCGGCTATAGTTTGTTTTATTAACACTTGTCCATTATCATACATTTGATTATTTGCTTTTTGTATTATTTCTCTTGCAATATCTCGTACTTCATTCATCATAGCAAGTTCTAATAAATTTTTCGATGCAAGTAATACAGGTCCTAATTTATCAATAGTTGTCCAATAATTTGTTAATTTCGTATAGACTCGATCGAAGTCTTCGTATACAGATAAGTTAGCATTTGTAGAAAGAAATCTAAATATGATCTTACGCAATTCTTGAATTTGAACTGGAAACGTTTTATTTCTCCATTTTTGTACTTCACCACCAAATACTGGATTAATATCATTCGAGAAAGCATTGGACAATGGTACAACATCATCATTGGATATATTAAGTTCATCTTCAATTGAAATTTCTAAAAATTGTGCATCTTTACTTAAATTTTGTTTTAATTGTGCTAATTGTGCAAAAAATATCTTCTTGTTAGACAAATCAATTTGATCACGAAGAATAAATAATAATTTTGGTTTTAATGGTGCATCTTTAAGTTGTAATTTTGCATAGAAACTCATACCAATTAAATTTTGTAATTCTGTACTCAATTCACCTTTATGATTAATTAATACAATATGAGAAGATAACATAGCCATTGAAACCATTTGATTATCAAATAGAGTACTTGATTCTTCAACAGACAACAAACCTTCTGTATCAAGTAAGACAATTGGTAAGGATTTCCATTTAATTATACTCATATATATACCCATTGTACATCGACCAGAACTAACATGAAAATTACAACCAAATGTTGTATTTAATAAAGATGATTTTGCTGAAGATTGTTCTCCAATAACAGTTATTATACATGGTGGTTTAGACCATTTGTTGAAATTTTTTAAAATTATTTTTAATAAAATACTTTCACATTGTAATGGTCGTCCACGTAGAACATGTACAGCTATACCACGATGCATCATTTCAGTCATACGTTGAGCTATTTCATTTAGTAATTCTATTGATAATGAATTTTTTAAATATGAATTATAATCACTAATAGATAATATTTCATCAAAGAAAAGACCAATTGTCATATCAATATTCATTAATTTTGTTTCAATTTCATTTAATGTTTTATAACTTTGTTCATAATTTTCTTTTACTATTTGTAATTGTTGTTGTATTTCAATTGATTTATTAAGTTTTTGTTGTTTTTCTAACATTTCAACTCGTTTTAATTCAGATGTTAAATCTATCATTTTATGTTTTGCATTTGTTAATTCAGATCTTAAACGTGATTCATAAATAGATCTCCATTGTTCTAAATATTTTTCTGTTATTAATACTTCAATATAAGTTCGTTTTGTTAATAGATCAATAAAAAATTGTGTATGATCTGATATTCGATCGATTTTTTTTAGAAGATTTTCATATCGTTGAACTTCATCTGTTACAAATCTTGTTTTATCTTTTCTAGGTAAATCCATTTGACTCTGTCTTATTTTAGATTGTAAATAACTGATTGGTGTTGCTATTAGTAAATTATCGGTTGTATCCGATAATTCATTAAATAATTGTTTTAATTTTCTTTCAACTTCAAAATAACATGTCAAACAATTTAAAGTATTCATACCATTATGAAATGACCAATATGATGATTGTACTTGAAATATTGTTCTAAATAATGTTGGATGAATTATTGTTTGATCAATTTTTTGTAAAATATAACTTAATTGAGAATGTAAAGTTTGTATTCTTTCATTTTCATCATATTGTTGATTATCCGATTGTGTTAACCATGTATTTTTTGTAGGAATTAATAACCATTGAATATGAGACCAATTTTCCATTCTATAACGATTTATAAATTGTCGGACGAGATTTACATGTTCGTCATGTAAATTTTTATCATAATGATCATCAAAAATACATACAATTGTTGGTTTAGATATACTATTATTGATCATATTAGGTAAAAAGTTCGTTTCAAGATCTGCTTCAGTAACATATAGAAATTGTAATGATGTGTATTGTTGAAGAGCTAAAATAATAGTATCATTTATGCCTGATAATATTGTTCCATGAACATCGAATATTACACAAGATTTTTCTTTATTTTGATCAATCTGTGCTGTGCCAAAGAGTGTATCGATACAACCAGAACGTATGGGTTGTAAACCAGACGTATTTAATGACTCTTTACGTATATCACGAAAAATATATGGAAGTAAACTAGTTTTACCTAAACCAATAGTTGTTGGACTACCAACTTGTATTATCAAATGTTCTGTTGATAAACATTGTACTTCGGCTAATAGATTAAAATTGATTTTATACTCGATTAAATTAGTTTCATTGTTATATAAATAATATGTAAATGGAATTGGTAAATCATTTCTTTTTATAAAATTACCCAAATAACGTTGACTGTCGTATGATAATGATTCGACAGTTGAAATAAGAAGCATACGAATAGTAATATTTGGTAAGATTCTAATTAATTCATTATATAAATCATGATTATATATTGTTTCATCGTATTTGATTTGTTTACATTTGGGTAATTCTGTTCTAATATCATCGAGTGCATGATAACGTTTTAAACTATCAACAATGTAAGTTTTTATTGTATGATGTTTAATTAAATCATTTAATAGAATACGTGCATTCATTGGTTCATCGATTATAGTTATAAAGCAGGAATCTAATTCATTTGATAATCGTTGAGTTTGCGTTAAAGATGGACAAAAGAAAAGACACCATTTAGCAATAAAATTGGTAACATTAGTTTCAAATAGAGTGTTTTTCAAACTGATTGAATGAAGTATCATATCTGGTTGAAGCATTAAGGCGACGTCGATGAGCTTCGTTGAAACTTGATGTTGATTATCTTCTACAGAACCTAATATGAAGACGTATCGTAAATTCTTATTTATTATTAAAAAGAAATTTCTCTATTGAATTATTATATATCACATGTTACTAGCAAGCGACAATCAACTTTTTCATGATTGAGAATGGTAGTTTCTATAATGAAATTTTAAACAACAACGATACTTAATCTATGATGAAAAGTAATTGTTAAGATGTCAAGCTTTCTTTTTCATCTCCACAGTATAATATTAACTTGATCTTTTTTTGTTTGAAAATGCAAAATCTAAAAAGCTGGATGAGTGAAATAACTGTACATTTGACAATGGTTCGATTGAAATATTTTCGACATACGGAACGAGAATTGCATATGTTTTGTCATCTAGTTTTCGAATAATTTTATTTTTACATAATGATAACTATATGACAAAAGGTCAGCTTCGGTCTGAATGGTCAAAATTGAGATAAAGGCATAGGAAAGATATTATGTCGTCTGGTTCTTGTTTTTCGAAAATGTTTCAAGATTTCTAGAGAACACTAATTGGAAATTCAAAAAGATGTTTTTCTTTTCTCAGACGAACATCTCAAAGTTATATCTACTGATTCATGCACTGTATTGGTATTTTTTTTTTGTTTGAAAGAACATATCAATATGTAAGGAATGGTATTCTTTTGCATTTTAAAAAAGAGCATTTCCAAAGAAGACTTCATGTTCAGTAGCTTGACGCGGCGTTCTCGAAAACAAAAAACAGCATCAATATATGTGAAACGAACTATTATAGAGAAACTTAAATTGAAATATTAATTAATTTTTAACTCTGTTTGGTCAATATCTCTCCTAAATGAAAGGATTAAGATTTGAAGATTTTATTATAAACATATTTTATAGGCGAAATTTCGACTTGATAGTTATATAAAAAGTTTATTTTGATTGTGAAACTAATATGAATATTTGACTCGAGAAAATGCGCTTTGTGACAAAATATGGGCTTCACAAAACTTGTACAAATTAAAACAAGAATCAATTTAAAATTTGACTGAAAAATCCATAGGAAATATTTCGAAAGATGTTATGCTATAGATACAATCTTTGATAGTGCATTCAATGGTTTTTTTCTAAGTTATAACTCATAGACATATATCTCTATGCATGAGGCAAATATTTTCATGTGAACTAAATATTTTCTAAAGTCAATCAAAAGAATATTCATTGTTCTATTCAAGTTGAATAAATATAAGTTTCTCGGATATTTTTGTAGTTAATCAATGAAACTGGATCTTTTATCAACTGTACTTTTCTATGGTAGCTTACTGGAGACAAAAAAAAATAAAATATAAACCATTCTACTACACTTACAGATCAACTTAAGAACAATCTTTTATCTTGCCGAGCTTGTTCGAGAATATCTCAGAATAACTATAGTCTTTATATTTCTTCTAATCTCAATGTTACGCTACAAATTATCGAAGTATTGCTATGCCCTATACTCTTGTATTTCCTTAACTCCCGAGAGAAAAACTGTCTTTTTTTACTTTTCACGATTCCTTGTGTTTCGACGTTTTTACTTCTAAAAAAAAGTCTTCAACTTCACAGAATTTTCTGATGCTTGCCGATACTTAATCGTATTTTAGACACTTGTGATACTTTTTAAAAGATTATGTGCTTCGAATTACTTGAATAACTTTTGATTGAAAAGAAAATAAGTAATCTATGAACTAATTCAGATGGTGAAAATAATAGATCTCTATACTTTTCCTATTAAAACTACGGGCCTTCATATTTGAAATGGACATTAGCTTTGGATATTCTCTGAAGCAATATTGATAGTCTTTGCGGTATTTTATTCGTCAAAACTTGTAATAAAAATTTAAAGACTACTGACCTCTAACATTGTGAGCAGCTCTACTGAATTCCCAAGTATAATGTGATGTTGCATATGTTTCCTGCTGATTTTCATTGACATTTCGAGGGGTTGGTACTGGTTCAGTAGTATTGTATCCTTCGCTATGAAATAAAAACAATGTTTATGCAATGAATCATTTACACCACAAGAAAACGATTAAAATATGTAAAATGAAAAGTTGTTTTTTCAATTGTTCCTTATCTATTCTTACATTTATTCTGTCACATTTTCATTATGTTTTTTTTTTATAGTTAATAATTGATTGTTAATGTTTGTAATGGGGAGAGGAGAACCGCAAAAACTCGTTTTTATAACAACGATAAACAGAATATTAGATTGTTACATCTTTCGCGGCAGTCATGGAAAATTTTGATCAGTGGTACAAATCGCAGATATGAATATGAGTTTCTGTTCTCGCTTTATAAGCCATTCAATGAAAACCTAGTGTTGTTCATTGTATGTATGCATTAGAACTGAAAGTAGAAATAGTTATAGTATCGAGCTGCAAAATGAAGGATTTGACAACTCAGAGAACATCTTTCTCTATTAGGTTGCGAGAATCATAATGCTACTAGGGACTATTTGTTAATTATATGAGTACTAATTTTCAAGTGCATAACTCTGAAGAGTAATTAGGTGCGACGAGACATTTTAGACAATTATGCGTATAAATCCTACTTTTTCTAATTTCTGAACGCGTAGAAAAATGATATCAATATTGTTATTAATGTGCAACAAATGGAAAAATATGTAATTAGCACTACTTTGTATATTGGTCGATTGGGAACTAGTAATACTGTCTGCGTTGAATAATAGCATTTAATGTTGTTCATCAATGTTCGATGTCATTGTTATGTGAGATGAAGAATCCAACATTTTGTCAAATAAACTTACCGCAATTTTTTCAGAGCTCTTCGAAATGTTATGCGATCTTTGCCTACAGGAATCATTTCATTTTCCATTTCCGTATCAAAATCTAACAATGTTTCGCCATCAATTTCGTTACCTGAAATAGATAAAATATTCGCTTAATTGCAGATCTTTGGCTTTTTTATTAGACAATTTACTTTTAAAAGAATCAATATATTTGTGTAGACTAACCGTCGCTAACCATTTAGCCACATCGTCCACAGTCCATGCTATTACATTGTCCTTAAATGTTTGAGATAAACTCTGATTCAGATATTTTTTCAAACTTTGTGTTGACATCATACCGTATGAATCACAGAAAGATCAACCGTTGAAATCGTTTTTTGAGATGGACGTAATCGAGCTATGATAAATTTATATTCTAGATTGAAATATTATTTGACTTTTTCATTACCTTCGGAATCGTGTGAATTATGACTAATATTGTCGAAAATATTCTCTGTCGATTTGGCTAAGTACAGTGTTGATGGCTAAAAAACAAATTATTGCGGTTATACATAGTAAGATTTTTACTTACTGTATCGATTGGATTCAATGGTCTACGGGTATTCCATTCATCACTTCCACAAATTCTAAATAAAAACAGATAATGATGACAATATAGATATGTGAAACCTTGTAAACGGATGTAGGTTTACATTTGGAAAAGAAACTACGAAAACTTTCTGAAAAATAGAGACCTATGAAAAATTGCAAAACTTAAATGTGACAATAATACTGAATCAATAGAAGTTTCCAGAGATTTGAATGGTTATTATAATTAATCGGGAGTACTGCCGATATCAGTATGTCGAAGTCTTAAGACTGCTAAGTTGTGATAAATATCAAGGAAACATTCAATAATACAAAGCAAATATTTTCTTGAAAAGCACGGCAAGAGTGGCACATTTAGATTGCACCGAAGCTGTCTTAAACAACTTTATGATATTTTCTGTTTAGTTCGTAGATAACTAAAAATACAATAATAGAGCGACAAGATATGATATTTGCTTTTTATAATTTAAGAAGCTCTTTTTAATTTATCCAAAATATGTTGTATTAGATGAAAATTGAAGAAACAATTTTTCAAGAACTTTTGCATCACGAGTTATTCTAATTTTGGTAACGGTTGGACTAGAGCTGTCTTTTAACATAATGTTCGTGGAGAGTGCTATTGCAAGGAATACATGCGATTTTTGCTCATCAGAAACTCATCATAGCCGAATTGTAGCATTGATACTTGAGCTGCGACTTACTTTAGTCTTGCGCGTTGTTTCTGAAACTGTTTTCGTTCTGCCGATGATGGATGAAGATGTCTAAGCTGATATTCATTGAAGCCTTTGGTTAACAATTTCTTTCCATCAATTTTAGCTTCTATTGGAAAAGCAAAAGAATTTAAAAGTATTAAGAATATATTTACAAAAAACAAAAATAACCTCTCAATCGATCTTCTAATGTTTCTAGATCAACTTTTTCCAACCAATCTACTACGTCTTCAATAGACCATCGAGCGACCGAATAGTGCCTAAGCGAGAAAATAAGGCAAGTTTATACAGTTATATATATACTTGAATTCCGATATTATTTACTTGTCACAATATGGAGTATCTTTAACTACTGCTGCCGTATTGTAATCTAAGACCACACTACAAACTGCACATGCAAATACATGTTGTTTTAGTAGAATCGACTGAAAATTTATGAAATAGTTATTGCTAACTTCAAAGTATGATTTGACTTACTGCAGAACATCTCTTTTGAGCATTTTCTTGAGGTATTAATCTTCCACATCGTCGACATTTTTTTACGATAACTTGATATGAAGACATTCTATGTCTAAAACAAATAGTTACAATTAGTTGAAATCTTTATTTTTCTTAGGATATCTAATATTTATCATGACTACATCAAATTTTTAGAGATATACGAATTAATTTTTTTCTACTATGTGCTATGTACCATAATCTCTTTTTTTAAATGTTTATGTAAGATAATATTGTTTATATGGGGGGGGGGGGGGGGGCTCCAATGAATAAATGGGAACAATTAGGAAGAATGGATATCCATTCCTTTAATTAAGCTATTATTGTGTTCAAAAGATTCTTTTTGAATAAATCTTTGTGCATAGGGTTATGAAGAAATGTTTTGCTCTTTCAGACGAATATTAATTAAATAGTAATTAATAAATATTTTTCTAATCGTATAAGAAAAATATCTGAAAACTTCCGAATAGAATCTACGATCTGAGTAGCATCTATAATGAAATTTCCAGGAAGACCGAATTGCAAATAAATGCCTTCTAAAAACTTGATTTTTTTTAGCACAACATAGGGAGACTGCGCAACGAGTTATACCATGTTGAATTAATTTCGATCTTTCTATTCGATTATGAAGGCATCTTCTCGGATGTGCATTTGTACTATATCGTATCGCTAAAGACACTGAAATAGCTGCATCTTATACTTAACTTTTAAACAATTTATAGCAAACTGAATATTTATTTCATAGTAGAGGACATAGGAAATCTTTTCTTCCAGTTTTCTGATGGTGATTATATAAGATTCTACTCAAAATACTATATTTTCATAGCTTTTTATACATGCAGATAACAATAAAATCCCATTCGGGAAGAGTATCTTATAATTAATATTTCTATGTAGCAAATGTTAGGCTTGCGAAAAGAGTTCTGCTATTAAATAGATTCGATTGTCCAAAAAATTTCAGTTTCATTCTTTTTATCCTGAAAATCAGCCATTATCCATAATTCTTTCTCAAAATTCACTTTTTTTGAATATATGAGAATTTCCATAAAAAGTTGCAAAAAAAAAATAACTCTGTTCTATGGGATGTTTTAATCGTTTGATAGAGTTGAGTATTCTTATTATATGCATCAATCTATTTTTATAGACTTATCGGATAATAACAGAGATCTGAAGCACATTTTGAAAATTCTATTCTGAATATCCTATATAGATATTTGATGCTTACTGAAACATTTTAAGCGTTTGAAAGCACATAAGAAAGTGCTAGCTGAAATCTTTGAAAATGTTCTAATATGAAATTATTTTGAAAGAAAATACATGCTTAAACTACTATTTTCTCTTTAACTGTTCTTAATAAAAAGTCGTAATTTGAAAAATTATGTTATTGTTATATTCTTAGCAAGTAGTACTACACTCTCCTACAGTATATCTATTACTAGTAATTAGTCAATAGACAGTTTAGCTAGCTAGCAATATTTACTTGTAATAGAACACATTTACATCAAATAACAATCAGTAGTAAATGGTCGATTTGTACAATTTGAAAGAGTTAGTAAATGTCGATATCTACCACCTCTGAGTAAGTTCGAAAACGTGTATGTATTAGTAATGAAAAATAAAGGATTACTTACATAACTTACTGTTAGTTTATATGAAATATTTAAAGAGCAAAGCACTTTCTACTACCTATACTCGACATTAAAGTAATGAGAAGTGTTAAAATGTTCTTCATAATAAGCCTTCATCATTGTTTTAGACCTATTCTCACTATATATTTTCCTGTCAAAATTTCAATGATTCAATAGATCATTTTTACAAATAATATTCTCTTCTCATTATTTCAATAAGACGAAACGAAAGTTTTTTTCTTTTATTTGATACAATGATACTCTCAGAAGATGATATAGTTTTAGAAAAAGTTTGTAGCATAAATTCCATCGAATAGTTTTTCATAATAAAACAATCACTAGTTGATATTATATTGACTTTTTTCAAACAACATTTTATAATATTCAATCGTTTCATGTGAATTTATTTTACTACATGATTAAGACAGCTCTAATTTAATTACCTGTTTATTTTATACTACAACAATGAGTAAATGAATAATAGTGATCCTTTAAATCTTCATATAGTAAGAAAAATCTATCACTAAAAAGAAAGAAATATTAAGATACCACGTTGATTATAAAGATTATTCATCCATTTATGAGTAACATGATGTCACATTCTTTTTTCATTCTTTAATAAATGAAAACAGTAAGTATGAGTAATACAGATGATTAATACAGAGAATAAAGTTTGTTTTTTTGTTACTGCTTAAAATTCTAGAAAAAAAAGAAACTGGAGTTTAGTCGTTTGATGTGAAAGCGAAAAACGTATTTCTCCTTCTTTCAATAGCTTGCTCGTTCTTCTTTTTCAAGTGTTTATTTGCGTATAATTTTGTGTAAAGAGTAGTGACATAAATTGAAAACTATTGACAGAAGTTTTAGTGTATATATTTTCTTTGGTATCCATGAGAACGAAAAAATTGCTCAGTATGTAAAATACAAATATCAATATCATTAGCCAAACATTAGAAACTTCTGAGATAATTACTTCCCATTCTCTTTAGTCATTCTTGTGTTTATATTAATCTTGAAATATATATTCACCTATTAAATCAATTCGTTACTTACTCGAAATGCGAAATTTCACTTAATTCATGTAGGGTATGGGTGTGTGGGTGGGATGGGGTGTGTGTGTGGGTGGATCCGTTGGTGTGGGATATGGGTGGGGATGTGGGTGTAGGTGTGTGTACGGGTATGGGATGTGAGGTGTAGGTGTGAGTGTGGGTGTGTGAATGAGTGTAGGTGTGCGGGTGTGGCTGTGAGTGTAGGTGGGTGTGGTGGATTTAGGTCTTCTCTTCATCAACACCCACGCCCACACACTTACCCATCCACCCACACCCACGTCTTCGTCGGCTTCAAAACTGGAATCGAGAGTCCAACTCTAGAGTGAAGATAGAACCAACAGCTTGCTACTGATCATTTACAAAGTGCGCCCATTGAGTATTAAAATAGGTATGTGGGCGTGGGTGTGCATCTGTTACTTCTTTCCATCCACACAGATACGGCACGTTTCCCCACTCACTGGCGCACTTACACCCGCACCCATACCGACACCTTCAAAAGCATCACACCCGCAACCGCAACCATACCCACATCTACACACTCCCTTAGATTATTCTTCGACCTTGGGTGTGGGTGGGTGTGGATGAAATAAAGAATCGCAGCCACATTCTACACCCACACTTACCGCGGTAGGCTCTATATTTTTATTGTCACACATGATCTGTCTGTGGTATACATACATGACGACGAGCAAAATTCTTTTTTTTTTTCTCATGATAGTCAGCTGTCTTTCTTTATATTTTTCCTCTTAGTATTATATCCGAATAATCAATAGACAACAAGAGAACATTTTGAATAACGACCGATAGCGACATTTTGTTGTTTTTTGAATATAAAAAACTTCTTTGGTCGTTTAGAATTAAATGACGAAGAAAAGAACAAGATAAGATATCTTTGATATATTTACATACATATTCTTGAGTATACTTGAGGAAAAAAAAATGATTAGATGCTAATAAAAAAAAAGGAACAGTAGAATGAATGTATAATAAAAACTACGATAGAAAAAAAAAAGAAACAGAAATAATCTTCATAAGAGATGCGATCAAAAACTATCACATAATTGATAAGAGCCGGACCAGCTGATATTTTCACGCATGAGAAATATACATTGCACAACGAAAAAGAAACATAATCTATTACTCAAAGTATTCATTAGAAGATATTTGTGAAGTCTTGAAAAGATAATTTTGAAAAACATCTTATGATAGTTTTCAAATATTATTTTTAAAATAATTTTCAGATAAATAATGAATAAGAATTAAAAGTAAAAATTTGAATAAATAAATAAAAATACAGTCAATAGAATATTCACTATAGTTTACTTATAAGTCGATGTGTATATTTTTTTTGCTATTTCAAATGAATATACTTGAATTTGTTGAACTTTTGTAGTCCAGAATAATTCAATTAATTTCATAATTGAATAGATTAGTTTTTAAAATCAATTTGTTGCTTTCGAGAATACGACAGTTAATTCAAAAACTTGTAAGAAAACATTTTTGTAACGAACTATTAAATCAATCAATAAAATATAAGTTTCAGCTTTCTGAATATTCTGTGCATGACAATTATGAATAAGACGAATCTCTTACTCACTATTCAGTGAAGTTATTTTTTATATATAGTAATAAACAAACATCTTCGCCTTATCCAATCACAGCTATCATATGTGCTAGAAGTCTAAAAATTCCTATGGACATACTCTACCAAGAATGTAGATCAAGAGCAAAAATGTGACAATAAGCTTTTAACTACAGAATGGAATATAATGTAGGCTTATAGAGATAGTCTTTCGATTACTTAAAAATAAAAAGAATTATCATTGATGACAATGAGTCATAGGTTTTTTTGTTCATATTGAGCCAAAAGTTTTTTGAATCAGCTGATAACTTAGTATCTAATGCTATGTTTCAGCTAACTAGAGTCTCATAGAAGTTTGTAAATTCTATTTAGAGTTATTTGCATTTTACAATTACGATCAATGTAGTGAAAGATCATTCAAACTATAACTCTATAACAGCTAGGGTCTCTCGGATCCAAATCCGACGAACTCTAATAATTGCTCAGTAGATGAAGCTCAAACTTATAGAAAAATTGTCTTCTCTAGTTCGAACATTAATGCCCATAAGTTTCAGAAACGAAAAGGAAAATGAAGGAACTATAATCATTGGGCTGATGATGTCGAGTTATCAGCGAGATTATAATTCGTGTAAATGAATTCATATTTTAAGTGATGTGATATTATGAACTCAGCGGCCATTAATTTAAAACTATCAAGAATTACTTACGAATTTAACAAAAAAAAAAAATAACAACAGTGCAATCTATGATAATTCTCTTTGTTCTTAAGCGATGGATATAGATTGCTGATCTATATTCTCAACAGAATATGTCTATATGAATTTTCAGATCTTCAGCATGTATGATAGATGATATTGGATAGAACGGAGACTTTTGCCTACTAATGTATACTCCATAAATTAAAGATGCGTACTCTTTTTTTTTTTGATAAGAAATATAAACTCAAAGTTAGTATGTTAATAAATAAAATAAAAATTTGAATTAACAAACTAATCCTTGTATCAAGTTTATCTAATCTTTCAATTATTTCCGTCCGATGATGATTTAAATTATACAAGTTTTCTTAAATCAGTTTTTATTGTTGACATTTCATTTTGATAATTATTTATTAATACTAATGAATCCTTTATTTCATACTGCTTAAAATACCAGGTTTTTTTAGCATATTAATTGTTCAATTCTTTGTCTATAATAATAAGTTTAAGTACGAAGATTAAGTAGAATCAATGTTAGTTAAGTGAACTTGTATTTTAACTTTTCCTCGAACAGTAAACTGAATGTGGGGATTAGCTTTTTTCATCTATATCCAAATTAATACATAAACACTCACATTATTATCCTATGTGCGATTTAAATTCATTACTACTTACCAACAATGATCTCAGAAAATTGGCTTCGGCAAAATAATTGAATTCAATCAAAACTTGTTTTTCTCTTCAAGGATTCGAATAACAAAAACAAGAATTCATCGAGTATTTTTTTACTTTCAGCGCCCTCGCAAGTAAATCTTTTCATATTGATTGGATGATTTATCTTACCCAATACGTTTAGTATAATATTGATATATTCTTAAATCTTAAGTTTAAAAAGTTTAAAAAAAGATAATTCGATGTTAAATAAACTAGTTAATAATCGTTTGAGTTTTGCAATAAATATTGCAAAACGTTCAGCAATTATTAAATCTAATGCTAATTTAGGTAATCAAATGAGATTGTTAAATAATAAAAAAGAATTCAAAAAGTCACTTGAATTATTCGATAAATACAAAGAAAAAAATAATACTGAAAAATGTTCTAATTGGATTATAATTCAAGCTTTAAAAGCATGTACTGAAATTGATGATCTTAAACGTGATTCAAATATTCATAATCTCATTTCACCTCGATTAAAATATGATCCTTATGTATTACCATCATTAATTCATCTCTATAGTAAGTTTATTCAATAAATAGAAGAAATAGTAGTTTCATTATATATTTCATTTCACGAAATTGAAATCAAGAATATAACTGCAGTTTAGTAATACTTTCAGCAGCTGTTCTAAGAAAAATTTCAAACAAAGATGACATGAAAAAATCGGCTCAAAGATAGAGAGAAAAGTTTTATCAATGATACGATGAGTGTAACAAAAGTTGTCATAAACTCAAATTTCCTAGATTATGTCTTCTATGAGATACTGGAATCACAGTAGCGAAAAATAGCTTCAAATTTCGTCCTTGTTTCTCCAAGATATTATGTTCGATCGAGTTGAAAACCTGTTTTTTTTTGCAGGTACTAAACACTGTTTGAGAAATGTATTTTTTTTTAGTTTCTTTTTGTTTTTTTTCTTCGAATAAAGAAGCCAAACTATCGAAGTTATCGAAAAAAACCGCATATATGTTTGATTAGAGCTTTTCTTGTAAAAACTATAAAAAAATCAGCAGAATAATATTCAAAAAACAAATACACATTCCAAACAGTGTCTAGTATATGTAAATAAAGTTTCAGTTCGGTCAGACTTATCATCCCAGTGAAACAGAGGCATTTTTGCATTTTTTTTCATAAAAAAATATTTTGAGAAAAACGCGAAACAATATACAGTTTTCGCTATTAAATTTGACTTCTTCTAGAATTTTTGAATGTTTAAAGACAATTTTTGCATCTCAAAATGTACTCAATAAATAGAAAAATACTTGAAATTATATAATGGCCAAAAAAAAAAACAAAAATTTTGAGTGAGAAAAGGAAGGATACCTTGAATGATCAAGAGATACAATCCTGGAAGTCTCCAACTGCCAAATTTCTAGCCGTCGTCAAAATCTCACTTCTAAATGTTGCGCTAACACTTTCTCATTGTATGAAATCACTATTTAAATTCTTCCTAGGGCTTTATAGCAGCGAAAAAAAAAAAAAAATCTCGTTGAATAAGTTTGGTATTCACTGTATATACTTGGCAGTTTTTTAATATTTAGCATTTTTTGTGATGCCTCTGAATCACGATATAAATTAATAGAAGAAACTAAGTATAATTCTTAAGAGTAAGTGTCTGAGAGACTCAGACATCGACGATGGTGTGACA